CTGATCAGAACAATACTAAACACACCACTCCTATCTGGTGGCACATTAGCTTGACCGCGCAGTGCCCCAAATTTGAATTAAGAGGACCGACCAAGCATCTTCTTCCATCTCCCTGTTACAGAAATCACTGCCATATCCATACAAATTGTGCAGAATGTCCAGGATAGTTTTCCAGGGACAAATGTTGTCGCCTGTTGAACGAGGTGACCTTGCTCGGGTCCCAGGTGTACGGTTCCTAAAATGGCTGCCATATACGCGTCCACTGATAGGAGACGCGGAAGGTATTAAACTGATCAGAACAATACTAAACACACCACAAATAAGGTTTCTCTCCTGTATGGCTCCTCAAATGATGCTTAAGATTAGAAGCGGCTGAAAAGCATTTCTCACACTTCGAACAAAAATATATTTTTTTAACATTCTCTCCACTTTGAACGAAATGACGTTTGGGAAGAGATTAACATAATTAAACACAGGCAGTAAAAATACAGTTTTAGCCATACCCTGTAACTTTAAAACTACACATCCCATCTTCATAATTACATATTTGGAATCAGCACACTTAAAACATAAACATAACCAAAAAATCGGCCAAATCCATCCAGGGGTTAAAAAGTTAGCTGTAGGTCCCTTTATGACCGACTGCAAGCACATTTTCCTGCCCAAAACAGTTCCATAGATTTGGGCTGTGAGGTCGGTCTATTTCAGGCTGAAAAAACGACTAAGTCCCATCGCGAATGGGACTTAGTCTCTACAGCTGAAATAAGGCTGAAAAAAAGACTAAGTCCCATCGCCGAATGGGACTTAGTCTCTGCAGCTGAAATAAGGCTGAAAAAAACGGCTGAAAAAAAAGACTAAGTCCCATCGCCGAATGGGACTTAGTCTCTGCAGCTGAAATAAGGCTGAAAAAAACGGCTGAAAAAAAGACTAAGTCCCATGGCCGAATGGGACTTAGTCTCTGCAGCTGAAATAAGGCTGAAAAAAACGGCTGAAAAAAAGACTAAGTCCCATCGCCGAATGGGACTTAGTCTCTGCAGCTGAAATAAGGCTGAAAAAAACGGCTGAAAAAAAGACTAAGTCCCATCGCCGAATGGGACTTAGTCTCTGCAACTGAAATAAGGCTGAAAAAAACGGCTGAAAAAAAGACTAAGTCCCATCGCCGAATGGGACTTAGTCTCTGCAGCTGAAATAATTTCCCATTTACTGAACCAAGTGGGAAATAGCAAGGCAGGCACAAAGGGTTTGCACCAGGTCTGGGGACACAGGGGACACCGCCTTAAAGGGGCCGTGTCCCCAACAAGTCTGGGGACACGGCCTTAAAGGGGCAGTGTCCCAATCTTCCTGATGTCCCAAAAAAGGTGTTTAAAGGGCCAGCACCAGTCACATAAAGAGTCCATAAGCCCCAATATGCCCACCACAGTCTTAAAGGGCCATACACACCAAATAAAAGTGCATACATTTTCACAATCTCCCAGGGGCCATAGTCATGCGGGAGGAGGCTGGCAAAGAGGCTTCTCCACAACCCAGGGAAACAGGGCAATTTGCCATTTAAAGGGCCCGCTACAAATAGCAGTTTGTAACAAGGTGTCAATCCATATCTGCCAAGTGACCCGATGTAGGGGGAACAGTCCCTATTCTGCTCTGTGTCAGTGTGTATCAGGGATCCTGAGGACAGGTGTCAATCCATATCTGCCAAGTGACCCTATGTAGGGGTACCAGTCTCTATTCTGCTCTGTGTCCGTGTGCATCAGGGGCTCTGAGGACAGGTGTCAATCCATATGTCAAGGTGTCAACATGTCATATGTCAGGTGTCAATCCATATTGATTGTGATTTAGGAATGTTAGGTGATTTCTGCCTTTATGGATTAAAACCAGACTCTGTATCAACTGTGTAATTTTCCATGGGAGTTTTGCCATGGATCCCCCTCCGGCATGCCACAGTCCAGGTGTTAGTCCCTTGAAACAACTTTTCCATCCCTATTGTGGCCAGAAAGAGTCCCTGTGTGTTTTAAAATTCGCCTCCCCATTGAAGTCAATGGCGTTTCGGGCGGTTCGCCGGTTCGCGAACATTTGCGGAAGTTCGCGTTCGCCGTTCGCGAACCGAAAATTTCGGGTTCGCGACATCACTACTCCTGATACTGTGTGTCGTCCAGTGATTGGGGAAAGTGATGGGATATTATTGGATTGTAATGCTGATTGTGCTGGATATTCTCTTGGATTTATTACTTTGTCCTGCATCCTCTTAAAGTACTTGGTGGAGTTTAGCTGTGAGAAATCAGCTCTCCGCTACAATGAACATGACAGGAGAAACAAAATGCAGAATAATAGTGCAGAGTATTTTTGAAAGTTCACAACAGATTATCCATAGTATGTTGCTCACCTGGTTCTGGAGCCCATATGTTACTGGCTCCAAGTTTTAGCACCTGCTTGCCAAATATGGAATGACAAGGACTCCCTCTTGGTGTGGATGGAATAGATATTTATCCCAGGGGGCTCAAATGATTGTTGAAAATAATTATTATTATTGGCTTCAAACAAAGAGGTCTCAATTTGGAGAGCTGATAATAAAAAGTTAGAATAAAAAGTGTTAAAAATAAAATAGTGTTATATAATAAATATGGATTAAAAAAATCTGAATTAAAAATATATGTATAAAAAGATTATTAAAAAAATGGCATAATTTGAAATCCACATTAAGGCCTCGAGAGGTTACAGTATCCAAATTAAAAATCCACCTCATTTCTGTCATTTACGCCATTCGTACAGATGAACGCAGATGATTACCTACAGCACCTGATTCGTACCACACCCCTGACCGAACAAGCATTTTATTGGATGAATGAACTACCGAACCCCCTTATAATAGGAAACATGGATGGAAGAAGATATACTGATTGAAAAAAGCCTCTACACCAGGCGAAATGCATCTAGGACACCAGGAGGACTATATATTTGAACTTTTTATCAACTTTGTTTTTATCTCCCATGTGGAGTTTTCTATTTGTTTGTAATTTAATAAAGGTTAAAATTATTTTCAACAATCATTTGAGTCCTCTGGGATAAATATCTACTCCATCCACACCAAGAGGGAGTCCTTGTCATTCCATATTTGGCAGACAGGTGCTAAAACTTGGAGCCAGTAACATTTGGGCTCCAGAACCAGGTGAGCAACATACTATGGATAATCTGTTGTGAACTTTCCAAAAATACTCGGCACTATTATTCTGCATTTTGTGTCTCCTGTCATGTACATATCACATTGGAGTCTGTAAAGGGATACAAACAAGAAGGCACCTGTTTCTAGCTTAAAGGCACAGAAAGTTCAGAGCCATAACGTCTAAAAAAGTCTTGAATTGTGAGCATTCCCTTCTAAAAATTGGATTTATTTTTATACCAATCGTAAACAATATTGTACCATTGTATATTTCTCTTTATCTTTTTTCGATATGTGTATGAAAACCTTTTATGTCGTATGGGTAAGCCATGACTCCTTGGTGCTGTACTATACACTGTTGTGTTCGAAAGGGGTAGTATCACCTAAAGCCTGTTTTAGCACATTGTGTTTTTCTGTTCACTATTGGATTTCTGGGTAAATAGGAGAACCCATAGAGTGTTAAAGCTGCTATCAGAAATAAAATCTTTTATATTTGAATTAAGCGCCAGAATATCACACATAAAACACCAACCTTTATGTTAAGTAGAGCCATAATAATGTAGCTTTGAAGCCAAAGAGTATTGCCAGACCATTGTGCTTTTAAAGGCTCAGGAAATGGTCATGGACCAATCATATTTTACCTTTATATCAGTCAGTCTGTGTCTTGTTTTTTAACCTCTTCCCCCTTCTGAATAATGCCTCTAAATTATTCTTCTTCAGACTTAATAGACGGGTAGAGGGAGGTTCTGCTTGATGAAGGATTCATTCAGGTGGCTGTAAGACTGTGAAAGGAACAGTCGGTTGCCTGGTCTGCAGTAGGAGAGGGTTACCCCATTGATGGCAAAAGGATACCATGCATTTTGAACTTTTAGTGGAGAAAGCTACTGCTGTGGTGTCTCACTGCTATATGTGAATGATGCCTTTTCCATTACTAGTTATAACCATCATTTATTTCCAAACAATCTTATTTGGCTGCTTTTATTATTTCGTATGTTAGTTTTGTGTTGTGCTTTATAACAAGAGCTGCACTTTCTGTATTTCCGTATTTTATTACTTCTGTTGTGAGAGTAGTTAGTGTGGTCACATATGTGTGATGAGTGCATACTAGTGAGCACAGTGTGCATAAAGTGAGTTTGAGTCGGTATGTGCAATATGTGTGTGTATGTTACTGTGAGCTCAATGCGTGTTTGTGTAAAATATAAATATTGTAGCGTAAGCTCATTGAGATATTGTGTTTCTCAGTGTATGGTGTGGAATTAGTGTGTGCACCTGTGTAAGCTATGTGTGAAAATGTGCATTTAATCATGAACCCAGTATGTATCAGATCATGTTAGTTATAGTACAGTATATGTGAGATAATTGTATTATATATATATATATATATATATATATATATATATATATACATATATGTATATATATATATATGTCAGATACATGTAACAGGGGTGTATTTTATCATACTTTATTACATTCACTAGGCAATTTCATGTATAATAACAATAGTAATAATAATAATAATAATAATAATAATAAATATTTAATTAGTTAATGCACATCTTATAGCGTAAACCTGAAAATTGCTACATTTTGGCTATATAAATGATTTGGATACAATTTCCAATTCAGATTTAACTACAGTGTGTCTATTGTAGATTTAATTTGGCAATTTGTATTTCCATTTACTGTTTCAATATACTGTTTAGTGTGAAATCTCTACAGTGTCCAACTTACTTTTTAATTTAGAATATCTTAATAAGCAGCTTATATTGAGAACATTCTTTTTTACCCAGCAGAGAAATGACATGACTTATGTCTCTCTGAATAATGACACTAAGTATGACCAGATGACTTGCATAAACCAGTTTGATATGTAGTAGCAAATATGAGTCAACTGATGCATCTGCATGCTGTTTTGACCTCTTTGACTTCTACCTCTGGTCATATTTCTCAATGGGAATTATTTAATAAACATTGCAAAATATCTTGTAATTAATATTTCATTTTCATTCCATCAATGTTTCTAATCTCTGTTCTTTTTTCCATTTGTGTTGACCCAGCTGTATAAAACAAGCTATATCAAAAGAGTAAGTGTAAATAAAAGATGAAAATGAACAGCTGTCTCAAAAATTTAGACTAAAAAGTGTGCCATGAACTTTCCCAGCAAAAGATATGACTCTGCAGTTGCACGAGTCCAATGAAAATACACTCACACATTGATCAGAGCTAGAAACTTTCTCAGGCTGGGTGCAGTGAACCACGTATCCCATTCATTCAGCCATCGCAATTTGAGTAATTGTTTTTTGTTTTTTTTAAGGGACTGTCACTTCAAAAATGTACTAGAAATCACATATAACTCGTGTTAACCCGCCATATTTCAGCTCATCCCTAGTCTCCATCCTCATCCCATCACCGACAGTTGACTTCCCCTTTACTGTCCCCTGACCGACAAGCACAGAGATAGTGTAAGGAAGTATTCACCACCCGGATGTCACCAGAACCTGCAGACGACACTGTGACTATACATGCTACAGCTTCTATGTATTGTAATGCTATCCTAATGTACTTCTGTAGGAGTAATATAGTTCCCATTGTCTCTTGATCAGTATGTCCCACCAACAGTCCAGGATTTATGTATTTTTCTGTTTTATTCCAAAGAAGATACTGTCAAAACCTGGACTGTTTGTTGGTCTTGAGGACTGGTTTGGGAAACACAGTTAACCTGTTTTTTTTTATTTTATTTTTTATTTGTATGAACGATTTAGCAAATTGCATTATAATCCTGTTAGACAAGTACATTGCAAACACTGCAAAGGAAGAGGAACAAATGAAGCAGAAACATTTCTCCTCGTCTTGTATGTCTACGTTGACTGTTAGGTGCCAGGACAGAGCTTATAAAGATGATTAAAAGTACGTTAAGATGGATGCCCCCAGATGCAGGGTAAAGATAAATGTGGATCTCTACATTTATTTTCTATATTAAATTTTGACCTTAAATTTTAAATTCACGTTGAATTCTCATTTTAGTAAATAACCGTTACCATAATGTCCAGTGAAACAGGTTTCAAACACTTGATTAAAGAGTAAGTGCAGATACTTATTTTCTTAGAAGTGTTGGGTGCTGAGAAGCAAGAAACCGGTTGCTACCCCAACGACTGTCTTGGACTGATGTATAAATTAGCCTTATATAGATAATTTTGTATTTTCAATGTTTCTCACAGTTTGCAAATGATTACATGTTTTGGGTGAATCATGATATAATTTGGCTAACAGTCAAATAGACTAGTTCACACAACTATAAAGGGAAATATGCCCTGTATGCCATCTGAAATAATGTTCGTGCTCATTAAGTTATTTGGTAAAAGGATATAAGTAATAAAAATGAAATATTAGGTGACAAAAGGTCTATTTCTGTATTCATATGTTTATTTGTGTCACTAAGTAGAGTTCAAATCTTTTTCATGCTATTTTTTGACATTTCATTTTGTCCTTTGAAAGCTGCCAGAATATGTAGCTAGGCATCAGTATCACTTTAAACTCTTGTTTTGATATGTTTACAGACTAATAAATCAATCCTTGACAAAATGAGTCCCCAAGGCTCAAGCTTTCTAGGACTCTATCGCACTTAAGAAAAGATTACTCAATTGAACATTCAAAGGAAAATTATATCTCATAAAGTTTCATTGTGTTAATATCATAAGTGTTTTGCTTTCTTTTTAGCAAAAGTTTGTTTTATTGGTTACACTTTATATAATATTGTATATATATTTTTTTTTTACATACATTTTTTTATGTATATGTAAAGACCTGTAGTGAATAGTAGAACACTGGTGGTTATTACTCTAAACTGCACATCTAACACCACAGTTTTCTTTTTACAGCTCCTGACAGCTTGATTTGTCAAAAGTAGCTTCACAGCCGTGTCATGGCTTGTATTCATGAGCATATTCCGAAAAATTAAATGAGAAGATGACGGTCATGATTTTGGGTTTCATCTCTGGTGTCCCACTTCAGTGCATGGATGCAGTCCACGTGAAAGTGCTTCAACAATTCTCTGTATATGGGTAGACAGAATATCTGCCCGCTATTGATACCTGTCTAACATGCTCCCTTATTGATTACTAATCACCCCTTTCCCATGTTAATATCCCCCAATGTTGGTAGGTATGAAAAAATTCTCTGGACAAAGCAATCAAAAAGTGTAATATATCAACAAGATAGACTCAGTGGGTTGTGTCAGAGTAGTTCCGTGCTGCAAAATACCTCAGTGGAATCCCCAACCACCTTTATAGAAACAAAGATTATTACATACAGAGGGTAGAGGACTGGAATGTTGGAAAGTATGAATCTGAAAAATTCAAGTTAGAATAATAATAGTGCAATATTTTCTAAAAATTATATCTGATACTAAAATCATATGAAAAGCCCACTCGCAAGCCTGGAGCCAAATGAACACTTGACTCGAGTGCGCAGCGCATTAGGACAAATGTAGGTGGTCTTAACCCTTCTTGGACTGGAAAGTTTCTGTGGGGTAAAAAACTCACATAGAGTAGTACTATATAGTGTTAAAATAATGATTAGAGTAAGTGAACACTCACATATTCGAAATGCTGGTGTACATCTGGGAAGAAAAATGGACATCTAGTAGTACACCCAGTATTTTATAGTATTAGAATTAAAATCACACTTTATTGGCACATAGGATGCTCCTCCTACTCACTGGGATTATCCAATCAGTGGAGAAAGGCAAACTTCTGGAACGTATTAGTGTTTAAATACATACTTGCATATCCAAGTCAAGTCGATCATCAAAAAATTAATATTTCCTTACATTAATATTATTGCGTAAAGAAATCATGGGGCATTTTAATCAGAGTATAAAATGTGGGGAAGTTATCATCTGCTGTGTGCTTGTTTCTTTTTTTTTTATTTCTTCTAAAGTTTTACACTTTTTTATGTTTGCTCCAGTATCAACTTAATAAGTAACCCAAATGTTCATTATATGTTTATTGAAATGTAAAAGGGGAACAAACATAACATTTTTAATAGTTTATTAAAATATTTACTGAAACCATTATAATATGAAAAGATTGCACAATATAACATAAACATACCTTATTAAACACTGTACATGAATACAACATAATCACATTACATGTTCAACGGTCAATGCATTTAATCAAATATTAGGAAGAAAGGAGGTTTTCAGCTAATAAAAAGTAACATAAACGTACTTACTGAACCATTATTACCCTAAAACCTTTTTATTGAGGTTACTGTCTAATCTTAAAAGATCATATTCTAACAGCTTTACACCAGTTATAGTAAAACGTTGTTTTATAGTCTAACGTGTAATTCTAATTCTAAAAAAAAAAAAAATAGCCAGTCATTCTAAAAATGGCTTTTCAATCCAATGGTATAAATATCATGTTCTATATTAAAATTAAAAAATAATATATATATATATACATATATATATATATATAAACTGCTCAAAAAAATAAAGGGAACACTTAAACAACACAATGTAACTCCAAGTCAGTCACACTTCTGTGAAATCAAACTGTCCACTTAGGAAGCAACACTGAGTGACAATCAATTTCACATGCTGTTGTGCAAATGGGATAGACAACAGGTGGAAATTATATGCAATTAGCAAGACACCCCCAATAAACGGGTTGTTCTGCAGGTGGTGACCACAGACCACTTCTCAGTTCCTATGCTTCCTGGCTTATGTTTTGGTCACTTTTGAATGCTGGTGGTGCTTTCACTCTAGTGGTAGCATGAGACGGAGTCTCCAACCCACACAAGTGGCTCAGGTAGTGCAGCATATCCAGGATGGCACATCAGTGCGAGCTGTGGCAAGAAGGTTTGCTGTGTCTGTCAGCGTAGTGTCCAGAGCATGGAGGCGCTACCAGGAGACAGGCCAGTACATCAGGAGACGTGGAGGAGGCCGTAGGAGGGCAACAACCCTGCAGCAGGACCGCTACCTCTGCCTTTGTGCAAGGAGGAACAGGAGGAGCATTGCCAGAGCCCTGCAAAATGATCTCCAGCAGGCCACAAATGTGCATGTGTCTGCTTAAATGGTCAAAAACAGACTCCATGAGGGTGGTATGAGGGCCCGACGTCCACAGGTGGGGGTTGTGCTTACAACCCAACACCGTGCAGGACGTTTGGCATTTACCAGAGAACACCAAGATTGGCAAATTTGCCACTGGTGCCCTGTGCTCTTCACAGATGAAAGCAGGTTCACACTGAGCACATGTGACAGACGTGACAGAGTCTGGAGACGCTGTGGAGAACGTTCTGCTGCCTGCCACATCCTCCAGCATGACCGGTTTGGCAGTGGGTCAGTAATGGTATGGGGTGGCATTTCTTTGGGGGGCCGCACAGCCCTCCATGTGCCTGACTGCCATTAGGTACCAAGATGAGATCCTCAGACCCCTTGTGAGACCATATGCTGGTGTGGTTGGCCCTGGGTTCCTCCTAATGCAAGACAATGCTAGACCTCCTGTGGCTGGAGTGTGTCAGCAGTTCCTGCAAGATGAAGGCATTGATGCTATGGACTGGTTCGCCCGTTCCCCAGACCTGAATCCAATTGAGCACATCTGGGACATCATGTCTCCACCAACGTCACATTGCACCACAGACTGTCCAGGAGTTGGCAGATGCTTTAGTCCAGGTCTAGGAGGAGATCCTTCAGGATACCATCCGCCACCTCATCAGGAACATGCACAGGCATTGTAGGGAGGTCATACAGGCACGTGGAGGCCACACACGCTATTGAGCCTCATTTTGACTTGTTTTAAGGACATTACATCAAAGTTGGATCAGCCTGTAGTGTGTTTGTCCACTTTAATTTTGACTGTGACTCCAAATCCAAACCTCCATGGGTTGAAAAATTTGATTTCCATTTTTTAATTTGTGTGATTTTGTTGTCATCACATTCAACTATGTAAAAAACAAAGTATTTCAGAAAAATATTTAATTCATTCAGATCTATGATGTGTTATTTTTGTGTTCCCTTTATTTTTTTGAGCAGTGTATATATATATATATATTTATATGAAACATAATAATTTTACAATTTCAGTTTTCACAGCAACTGGCTATTATTTTAGAATTATGAAGTCCTCCTTCGACTTTATACATAAAGAAATCATGTTTTTGCAACAGAATTTCCAGCTTGACACGCTAATCAGCACAGGCAGGTATTGTGTTTCAGACTTCACATTGCATTTCTGCAGGTAACCGTAGCAATTGATGCTTTTTTCAATAGGCTTTTTTCATATTGTAAAGCACTACAGAATATGCTGGCACTATATAAATACCAGCAATAATAATAATGACCAGACACCATGCATAGGCGGTGTAGTTTTGACCTTGTGGGTCTTGGCACCATGGTGCCAGTTCTGTTCTGGAAGTTGAAGTCTCTGTGAGTGTGTAAAGCTACAAGTCAAAAAGATTGTGGTGAGATCAAACACAATAAAACTCCCCACAGTTCAAACATATAATTACTGTTGTCCATCATCTGCATTTCTCAAGGTCAATTATTTGAGAGTTCCCAACTTGACATGCAAAAGAACACAAACAGGCACCATTGCAAGGTGTGAAAAATGTAAATACTTGAAAAGCAATTGGTAATTAAATCAAACCAACTTTTTAGAAATGTTTTGATATGGTAAAATTGCCTAATTTTTCACAACTGTAAATATGTACAAGTGAGATATTAGCAATTAGATTTAACCTGTCTTTGAAATGTATTTTCATAATGTTATAATAATATATACATATTCATTTTGAAATTAAATGATTTCTACAAATATCACTATATGAACACATATAGCATTAAAACATTTAACATTACAATGAAACTCAGACTTAAAGGGACACTATAGTCAGGGGCATATTAGCCGCGAGGCAAACAAGGCATTTGCCTTGGGCGGCATTTTTCAGGGGGCAGCAAAAAACGCCGCCCCCCAAATGCCCAGGGCAAATGCCTAGTTAGCCTCGCGGCTAACTGACATCCCGAGCGGGCGGGCGGCTGGCGAGGGAGCACTTCCTATGAGCTCTCTGCTCAGCTCCCTCGCGCGCCGGCTGCAGAGTGAGGCTGGGAGCCGGAAGATGACGTCATATTCCGGCTCCCAGCCTCACTCTGCAGCCGGCGCGCGAGGGAGCTGAGCAGTCAGCTCATAGGAAGTGCTCCCTCGCCAGCCGCCCGCCTGACGTGCAGCCACCGGACCACCAGGGATAGAGACCCCCCCCCCTCCAGCACTCCCAAAGGTAAGGAGGTTGGGGGGGGATTTAAATAAAAAAAAAGGTAATGTGTGTTTGTGTCTGACTGTGTGTGTTTGTGAGTGTGTGTGTGTTTGTGTCTGACTGTGTGTGTTTGTGTCTGTGTATGTGTCTGACTGTGTTTGTGTATGTGTCTGACTGTGTGTGTCTGACTGTGTTTGTGAGTGTGTGTGTCTCTGACTGTGTATGTGTGTGTGTTTGTGTCTGACTGTGTTTGTGAGTGTGTGTGTTTGTGTCTGTGTTTGTGTTTGTGTATGTGTGTGTGTCTGACTGTGTTTGTGTCTGACTGTGTGTTTGTGTCTGACTGTTTGTGTCTGTGTATGTGACTGACTGTGTGTGTTTGTGTCTGTGTCTGACTGTGTGTGTTTGTGTCTGACTGTGTGTGTGTGTGTGTATTTAGAAGGTGGGGCGGGGGGGAAGGGTTGGGTGGGGGTGGCGCGGGGGCAGGGGGGCGCCTGAGTTTTGTTCTGCCTAGGGCAGCACAAAACCAGGATACACCACTGACTATAGTCACCAAAACAACTTTAGCTTAATGAAGCAGTTTTGGTATGCAGATCATGCCCCTGCAGTCTCACAGCTCAATTCTCTGCCATTAAGGAATTAAATCACTTTGTTTAAGCAACCCTTGTCAGACCTTCCTGCCTATGACTTACACAGCTTTCCTAAACACTTCCTGTAAATTGAGATCTAATGTTTACACTACCTTGATTGCACAGTCTGTTTAATATATAATGTTTTATCTCCTTCACTGTGTATAGCTTGCTAGACCTTACAGGATGCTTTTGTGAGTGATTCAATTTACAGATCAGGAGATAAAAACTTCTAAAGTTAGTTAACATCGAATTGAATATGAAACCATTTTTTTTCATACAGGCTGTGTGAGTCACACCCAGGAGAGATGTAACAAAGTCTGCAAAAACAGAAACAAAAGTGACTTAACTCCTAAATGGCAGAGAATGGAGCTATGAGACATCAAAGGCCTGATCTATAGACAAAAACTGTTTCATTAGGTTAAAGTTGTGTTGGTGACTATAGTGTCCCAAAAATGCAAAAAACATTTATTGTTACTGAATCAATTACATTACAACTGCATTAATATCAAGTTGACAAATCTCCAACAAAACAATAATATATTAAACATTAACACGAATAGAAGTCAGTGGTGTAAAATTTGTAGCAAAGTTATAACATGAAGAATATTTTCCTATCTATTGCACATACCATAGGAGTTTACATATTCACATATTTTAAAATAATTTATATGTACAACACTAGGTTGCCTCATACAAAAAGCTTCATAAATGGTTACAGCACAATAAAGATTTACTGACATGTAAAGTAAACACACACATAGTTCACATTTTCTCAGAGGTATGCATTAATGCAAGGCATGAAGACGTATCATGTGGCATTCTAAGTGGTGAACAATTTTTGGGCTGTTCAATCAAACTGAGTGGCATCTGGCTAACAAATGTGGCAAGGACATTTTGACAGAATACACAGTATCAACACCCAAATAAACAGCTTTAAAGGGGCACTATAGGCACCCAGACCACTTCAGCTCATTAAAGTGGTCTCTGGGTACAGTGTCCTTATTGTACTTAGTCCAGAGAAACTGCAATATTTACATTTACAGCCCTAAGTCTGCCTCCTGTAGCTGTCTCTCAGACAGCCACTGGAGGCGCTTCCTGGCTGCTAACGAACTTTTGGTCCAATAACCAACGCTCTGCATGAGGACATTCAGCATAAGCTATTTCACCATAGGGAAGCATTGACTTGTATTCTTATAGTATACCTTTAAGTATTTTGCACATCTATTTATGACTGCAAGTTAGTGGAAAGAGTTTGCCATGGCATTGTGGTAGATACACTCTATTTTGCCAAATGACTTCATTTATATTAAGGCTTGTGCGAAATGTATCATAGCTTAAGAAGTACAGTCATTTTTAATACTATGAAGTCTGGATAGCGTACTAAATACATACAGCTAGAAATCATTCAAAAGAGTAGTATCAAATGCACATTTGTGAAGCATTGAAAAAAATCTATATATTTTAAAATAAAGTATTTTATTGTAGATCAAATGTACAGTAACCATATGAATTACTTGGGTAAAAAAAATAATGTTTACATTTGAGAAGATTTGGGGTTATAGACTCCAACCTTCCCACCCCTGACTTTGAATGCCTGAGGTTGTATATATATTTTGTGATGACTTTAACACAGGGGTTCTCAACGTTAGTCCTCAGGACCCCCTACCAGTCCAGGGTTTAGGGATTACCTGGGTGTGTCTAAGGTGTTTAGAAAAAGAGAAAAAAACACCTTAGAGTCTAAGGTGTTTTTTCCCTTTTTTCTAAACACCTGAGACACACCCAGGTAATCCCCAAATCCTGGACTGGTAGGGGGTCCTGAGGACTGGGTTGAGAACCCCTGCTTTAACATAAGTTAAGGTGCATATACATAATGTCAGTGCATAAAAATCGTGAATACATTTATGACATATACTATTATATTGTGGTCAGTATTGGAAAGTGCGGCTACATGTGTTTCAGTTTTAAAGGTTAATATGTGCATGTCCTAGATCAGGGGTTTCCAAGTACCCCCTACCGGTCCAGGATAAAGGGATTACCCTGTTGTGTCTAAAGTGTTTTTTTTTTTTCTAAAAACACCTTAGACACAAATGGGCAATCCCTAAATCCTGGACTGTTAGGGGGTACTTGAGGACTGGGTTGGGAACCACTGTCCTAGATCAAGGGTGGTCCAGTGGTAGAACTCCATCTATGAGATAATTTCATCTCCCATGATACTTGGTCAGTATATAAGGGCTGGTGAATGATTATGGTAACTATAATTCTTTTCTACACAACTTGGGGATCCCTTGCTGGCAGATTTTACTTTTTGCAAACCTTGTTCAGTGTCTGATATTATATCTGTTATATTTCCATGTAATGTAATCAATAAAAAATAATCTAAATACTTTCATAGTGAATTAGTTTGCATCTACGAGAACTGTGTATTGTGTATGGCAGATAATATACACAAAGTTGGTATGCAAATTAGAGAAACTGGCATATTCTTTACAATATTCTCTCAAGCAATTAAATGCCTGAGTAACTCATGATTGGCCAGCAGAACAGTACAAATGTAAGTAATTTGACTTTATGCTTTCTGTGAAAAGCAAATATTATAATTTATCTATCCTACTTAAAACTTTTCAATAATTAAGGACATAATTTGTATTTAAATGCTTCTATCTGTTGTATTTTCCTAGGGTAACAAATATTTTAAAATAGTCGTGTAATTTGTGTTACTGCATGTAAACAATGCAAGTCACAAACAATGAATAGTGGAGTGTTTCTTTAAGCCCTGAACTTACTATTTCATTTTAAATTGTTATCATATTGTTTGCAAACCCATTTTGTTGGGTACCCTGTGCATTTTATGAACATATTAATACTGTAAAATTTTCTGTCCTACAGCACATTAACATAGCTTTTCTTCTAGAATGTGTATTTTAAAAAGCAAAAGGTGTTAAAACAAATGGCTATTGTAAAAAGCTTAGCTTTAATCAATAGTGACATGAAAGAAAACGAATATAACAAATATGGAAATTGTACAAAATATAAAGCATGAAAATGTGAAATACAATCTGATATTATTAAAAAAAAATGTAGACCTGTTAGTTTCTGCAACTTCAGAAAATGAAACCATGTAAGAATCACACAATAAAAACACATGTAGATTTCCATATGTTTATGGCAAATAAATTAAACAATCAGTATAAAGACAAACATAGCTTAAAAATAATACTCTTTGTACAGAGTGAGGTAGTGTAATGACTTTTTTGTACAGTTAAAAATATTTGACAATAATATTTTTGATATTGGTTGACCAAGAATTGGGATTTATCGATCATTAGGTATATAAATGTTGGTATGGGAACAGTTGTTTTTTTTTGTTTTGTACACTTTACATAGGTATGGTTTCTTCCAGTCATCCACCTTACTAACAGTTTCTCCTCTAGGGTAACAAAAATGATGTAATAAGCACATAGGCTTCCTTCTGTATTACGCATTATCTATATTTGTGCCTCTAATTAACATTGTTCCATTTAGAAAATGTTTTCTTCAATGGAACAGAATGTGCCAGTATGGCAAACTGCTATCTTGACCATTCGTACCTCTTTTTCACTTATTTTATCTTTTTAAATAACCCTATTCTGGTGTTCCTCATTTTCACTCAATCTTAATGAGTTTTTGACTGATGCACTCTGATGTTCTGATGGACGGTAGGAAAGAGTGCTCATTTTTGTATTGAGACTTGCATGGGACCTTACTTTGGGAGGTATATATTTTAAAAGTTGCAGGAAATGTTTTCTGAAATTCTTTCCAAAACATCCATACAAGAATGGGTTCAGGCAGCTATTAAAGAAAGCAATACATATGCTGATGGGCATCCCTGTGTCCACTATGTCTACAATTTCACATTTTTCAATAACTTTTAACTGAATCAAAATATCCAAAAATGTAAGAACTTGATGGGGAATCCAGCAAAAAAAGAAGACAAGGACAATTACTACAATCATCTTAAAAATATCGTCATTTCTGTCCTTGCATTTATGGGCTTGGAAAGTCCCCTTTAATGCTTTGCAAATTAATACGTAGTTTGTTAAAATTGTTAAAAATGGAATAAGGAACCCTAAAATATTTTTGGCTATACCAATACCAACCAGAAGTGAGCTATTATCATCTTGATATACCAGAGCACAGACTGTTGCATTTGCTTCTTTGATAAAGAACACATTTCTATATATTATGGTGGGGAAACTAGCTACAAATGCAAGCAACCATATGGCAATACAAGTTAACCTGGCGATCATCATTGTACGCCGAACACGGGATCTCATTGGATGCACAATGGCTAAATATCGATCAATACTGAGACATGTAAGCAAAAAGACAGTTGTGTATAGATTCATTGTAGTGGCAGTTGAAACCACCTTGCACAAGAAGGTGCCGAAAGGCCAATTGTAATGCATGGCTGTGTAGGCTGCCCACAATGGTAATGTGATCACAAAACATAAATCTGCTAACGCTAAATTCATCAAAAAGATACTGGCCACGGTCTTCATTTTCATGTAACAATAAATCACAATTATAACAAGGCTATTGCCAAATACTCCAACGATAAAAATCAGACTGTAAACTATTGGAACCACAACAAATATAGAGCTGTGCCTTCCTGCTTTGGAGCAATTAACTGGAATAGTTTCATGACCTCCACTTAGCTCTGACGATGTGTTGAACAGCATCTTGCCAATTTCTTAGCTTAGATTCATTTACTGTAACGTGTTTACCTGTAAAATATAGAAGTAAAGGATTTGCATTGATCATAGATTTATAAACAAACCAAAGCAACATGAAGAGCACAGGATGTTCATCTTTAATCTATACAGACAGTATATTCTATCTGTTTACTTATTTATTTATTTTGCAACAACATATCTAAGGGAAGAGATTTTTCATCATCATTGCAACATACAAGAATGCCACCAATGTACCAATCAATTTATATGTACTGATATCTTATATATACATATACACCACTACATTAAGAGGACCTCACACTTAAAGTGGCTTTATATATTTTATTCTTTGTTTTCCCCTCTTTATGCCCCTTGAATCTTAATGATTATACTTCTCCATTGCCATTGTGCATTAGTTTTTCTTCCTGGCACTATATATCACCAAGCGGGGGCTGCCATATTGTTATCCTTTGTCCATGGTGTTTGCAGTTTGACTTTTTGTGGGATTGTTTTGTCTGATGGATAGTGGGTAAATTATCTTATCAACAGAAAAGGAACTTTGCTCACGCTGTGCCTATTGCCAAAGACCGCATTTTAAAACAAATCCTGCAGAGTGACTGCGCTGCTTCAAAAAAAAAATATTTCCACAATCTCCAATTTTGGATTTCAGACAACCACCCAAACAAAAACAGGGCACCACCCACAATTGCACCAAATGCCAGTACTCATGAGCAGTACGCGCCAACATTTTAATGACAGCAATGAAATAATTGCAAACCAGGACTGCAATTGTCACTAATCTCAGGTAACACAATATGCACAAGTGCTGCTTTAATAAGTAAAATCCTCACCTTAACCCCTACAGTATCCAAACACAATGCACTAAACCAGGGCTCGGCAACCTTCGGCACTCCATATGTTGTGCACTACATTTCCCCTGGTTCTTTGCACTCATTATGACTACAAGAACATACACCTGCACTAAACAATAAACACCTACACTACACTGACAGGAATACTGACTGTATTGCTCAGTTATGCCTTTATGTAATACTTTTTTTATCAAAGTGAACATTCCTGTCAGTGTTGTTGGCAATAAAAAGGTAAATTCAAAGTGAATTTGAAACTTAAGGCCGAAAAAGCCAAAATCGAAGCATAGCTGACTTTGAGAACTTTTCCAGTTCATCTATATTTGTATGTAAGTTCAAATTCACTTTCAATTAATTCTGAATTCCTGACAATATTCACTTTTTTTGAATAACCTTATTAATATGAGTATACATAGAGAATTATTAAATATTAACCACCCTAAGCTACACTAGAAATAATCATTAATCCTTTCCCTATACTAACATTATCACTCAGCATTAACCTACACACTTTTATTACTACTTTCATCAATTCTAACCCTAACCTAAAAGGACCATCAAACATGAAAGTTGTATAACAGTGAAGTATTATGGGAGAATAATGACATTTATAAGCCACTTGTCCTTCAGTTAATATAAATATTAACCCAAATATTGGCATAAACTTATGATTTGCATATTTTAAATGGCGTTTTTTTGGATCTGTGATAACGCAGATAGGGATTTTATTCTTTATTTTTGCTTTATTTTCTTATATTTGTCTTAAAAAGTTGCCAAATATTTTTCTTGAAAAAAATAAATAAATTATTGTTTCTTCATTCTGTATTAAATCAGAAAATAAAAATATATATA